CTCACTAGGGGTTAAACAAATACAAGTAGCTGTTGGTTATTTTTTCCCTTTACCCTAATGACTCCGGATGCTAATGAGGTTGTGGTAAAAGGATTCACCACTGATGGAAGTATAAATGAAGGCAAGCTTTGCAAGCCATGATGGCAAACCATCGGAACCATAGAGATACATGCTCACACTTTCGATCCTGAACATTTATTCCTGGAAATTACATACTTAAAAACTTGAGCAGGAAAAAACAAGGCTAATGGCAATGTCCAGTACACTGGTATGTGTGTTTTAAAATTATAAAATGAAAAAAACAATTTAAATATTAAACACTAACGAGCCTATTGAATAAATGTGGGTCCATTAAGTCAGCAAACAGTTCTGTACAATCATTTAATGTAGCTCCCAGGAGGTTGAGATATAATGGAAGTGTTTCTGCCAGGACACGAGCTATAAGAAACTAGAATTCTAGAATATACACTTACGTGCTATGTACATGTACTTATGCAGATTATTATGCATATGAACAAAAGGGAAAGGTAGTACACAAAATAAAAATGTTCTTCCAGTGTAGAGGGACTACAGACCATTTTTCCCTTCTTAAGAATTTTCTTTAATGTTCATGTTATTTTTGTTTAAAAGAACAAGTTAAAACAAAATGATTCAGGTAGTCTAATACTTAAAGGATCCGCGATTTCTTCTCTTTTTTTCCAACATTCATGTGTGCTCTTGGCCTTCATTAGGTCTTGATTTTCCCATCTGCACAGAGGGTTAACACACGTTTCCTTTGCCTAAGATGATGCAGAACATTTATCTTAGAAACACTTATCTTGCTGAATACAAGGGTCCATGAATATGTGGTCCTGGGAGAGATGGAGGGGTGAAAGAGATGCAAAGATGGTGTGAGTTAGCGGGAAACGCATGTGTGCCGTGCCCATTGTGCACTCTGCATTAGCAGCTTTAATTTAATGTGCTGTGTGACCCATTGGGCTTTGAAGATAGGAAGCCACTCTACATGCACATGAGCTAAAATCACCCCTCATCCAGGGAAGTGCGCACTCAATAATTACACACACTGGGCAGCTCTAGCTGATGGGCAATGATGTGTAAGAGTTGTGCAAAACCTACGTGGTTAAGGGAGCAGCAAGAGATTTGGAAAGGATGGTTTCATTTCCAAGCTTGTTTTCTGATCTGTGCTTTCTCTTTTAGTCCTTATAGGCACGTATGAGAGATTTGATTAACTTGTTTCCTGTGAGAGGTTACTTAGCCCCTCAATCTCATTAAGTCACTTTCTGCACTCCAGTGCACAGAGCCTTCCCCAGGTTTATCAGTCAGGAAGAGTAAAAGGAGACCCTGGGATCAGATTTCTAAAGGAAGGAAAGTTAAAGTGAAGTTTCAAAGGGGTGACAGCCAGCAGCCCTGAGTTTAGGAACTCAATTAGACTGAAAGACAACTATCTCATTATTTCATTCCGAAATGATCTAAATACATAAGAATTTAAAAGTTTTAAATAAACTTGTCCTATTGACTGTCTGGATGACTGTATTTCCCTTCTCAAAAATTTTTAAACACCCACTTTCGTATTTATTTATTCGAAGCGCAAAGCAGCTGCAATAATTATGCTGTCAGATTCAGTAAGCTAATGAGGAGTCACCAGAGTAGAAGGTTTTGCATTTGTGAGGTTGCTGAAGGGAAACAGCTCTACAGCTTTTTACTTTCTTTTTCTTCTCCCCTTTTTTCTTTTTTCTAAGTTGGAAAGGCGTCTTCCAGTCCTCGGCCAAAATTACTCATTCACATTCTCTTTCTCTCTGTCTTTGTCTGGCTCCCTCCCCCACCCTGCTCTCGCTGTCTCCCTCTCCCTGCCCCTGCCCTCTCCTTCCCTGTCCCTCCCTTCCTCCACTTCCCTCTCTCAAACTATTTGCTGCTTTGGCAGGGCAAGGAAGCCAGAGGGGAAATCCCGGCTTTTTGTGCCACTATCCCCAAGGCAAGAGGAGACTTTTCCCTTAGAGACATCCCCAAGGTGGTTTAGGTTTGAGTTGATTTGAAAGTCATCTGTAAAATGCAAAGTGTTTATTTTAGCTGTTTAACTGTGCTAGGATATCAGTAAAAGGAAAGCAGGCTGCACAAGCACACATCACAGAGTCCCTGTGAAATCGTCCTGTGCATACCAACAGGACTTGATGTCTCCCCTTTCTAGTACTGCCGAGATGTAATTCCAAACCAAGGAAGCAGGGGCCACAAGTTACCCACAGTACCTAAGAAGCACAGGCCAATCCCTTATTTCTTCCACGTGGGTGTAAGCAGCTTCCAGCAAACAATATCATTAAGGCATGGAGGCATTTTGTGCTTCTGATGACCAAACATAGCAGTGTCTCTCTGTGAAATTGTGAGATCTTTGGAGCAACACAGGTCGTATAGATTGTAAGCCTTACAAAAGAAACACCCAAGCGGCAGGGTATCCTGGGTAAGCCTTGTGCATGCGCTTTGGTGACAGTGTGGGTTCTGCTCTTGCTGCTCTCCAGATGCTGCGATTCTAAGGTTTACAACAATGACTGCTATTTATTAAGACTGTACCGTGTATCAGGAGCTACACAGGGTACTTTTGCTTTAAACTTACAACAATCTGCCAGGAAATTTCATTTGCCTTATGTGCACATGCTAAAATTGTTACCTTTTGGAGGCCTTAGCCTAGAGCTTCCATTTAGTAAGCCCTCAAGAGCAGGGGCACTTTGTAAACACACATTTACAGAGATGCACACTGCCAGGGTGCTCAACTAACCAAATCCCTGACAATGATTTCATTTATGATTTTTTTTCTTTTTGAAAGTATGAAAGGCACACACATATTCAGCAAAAAAAAAAAAAAAAAAAAAAAAAAACCAAAACCTTAAATTGATGCCCTGTGCCCAAAGATTCCTCAACTGTGAGATTTTCATTGATCATGCAGAACAAAAAAAAATTCAGAAAAAAAAAATGCATTGGAACTACACATATACTGACTGGTTCTTGTCCCATTATTCCCTAAACAATACAATATAACAGCTATTTACATTGCATATGCATTGCATTAGGTATTATAGGTAGCTAGGGATGACTTAAAGTATCCAGCAGGCACTGGATATGGTGGTACACACCTGTCACTCCAGCACTGGGGAGGCTGGGGCAGGAAGATAACTGTAAATATCAGACCAGCTTAGACTACATAGTGAAACCCTATCTCAAGATAAAGCAAGAAGGAAGGAAGGAAGGAAGGAAGGAAGGAAGGAAGGAAGGAAGGAAGGAGATGTGCATAGGATACATGCAGATACTCTGATTTCATTTAAGGAACTTGAGCATAGTTGGATTTGGCCTCTGAAAGACTCCTGGAACTAAAAGGTGATTGTGCTTTGCATTTGAATTGGAACCTTGCAATCCTGAAGGGAAACAGCTGATATGCCATAATATGCTGTGGAGTCTGTTACTAAACTCTGATATTTGGTAGGTTAGCTGCATTAAGTCATTTAAAAATTAGACTCTTTCCTTTTCTTTCTTCTTTTTTTAGAGGTAAATTTTTTGCCTAGAGACTTACACTTTTTTCAGCTTTTAATAGGTTTATTAGAATATGAGCCTGTATTAAATCGAAGACCATCTGTACATGAATTGAAAGTATATATATATATATATGTATATATATACATATATTTGAAAGTATATATACATGTATATATTTTAGAATAGATTATTTTTTAATTTACAAAAGTTGTACTTTAGGGGCCAGAGAGATGTCTCGGTGGAATAAGCACTTCCCTAGCTAGTGCAAGGGTCTGAGACCAATCCCCGGTTCCGCAAAAAAAAAAAAAAAAGGTTGTACTTTAGAGTCTGTCTAAATAGATCGCCTAATGCATCTAATAGGTTTTTTTTTTTAAATATTTATTTATTTATTTATTTACTTATTTATTTAGTGTGTGGCCAGCTCAGCCCACCGGGGGCGGGTGGGCCAGCATGTGGTGCTGGGGGATTGAACCGAGGTCTCTGTGCTTTGCTTGAGCTTAGCTTGTTCTAAGTAGGTGCTTTAGACCACTGAGCCATCTCACCAGCCCCATCTAATAGGTTTTTTTAAAAAAATTTATTTGTGTGTGTGTGTGTGTGGTCAGCTCAGCCCACCAGGGGGCAGGGCTGGCTGGCATGTGGTGCTGGGGAATTGAACCGCGGTCCCTGTGCTTTGCTATGCTTGTTCTAAGTAGGTGCTTTAGACCACTGAGCCATCTCACCAGCCCTCTAATAGGTTTTTAAAACTTCCCAAATCATGGGGCCGGGGAGATAGCTCAGTAGAATAAGTGCTTGCTTGGCAAGCACAAGGGCCTGAGTTCAATCTCCAGTTCTACCAAAAACAAACAAACAAACAAACAAAAAATCCAAATCATATCTAGCCCGGCATGAGGCACATTGCCTCTCAGTGTGAGGACGACACTCCATCACTATCAACTCCAACGCTTCTTCCAGCTTTAGCTTCTTTTCTGTCTCATTGTGACCTTGCATGATTGCTCATAGCTCTCCCAAACCCTTCCTTCCTCCAAGCCTCTGTTCTCACCAATCCCCTGGCCAGGAGTGCCCTCCCCAGCGCCCCCTCACCATCAAAAGCACAGTCCTTCTCCCAATACCCACAGGATACCCTGCCTGTGCTTCCCTGTGCTCTGCAGAAGCCTCGGGGAGAGAAGCAGTTTTAATTCTCTATTTGCACCTCACTTTTGGCTTTGTGTGTGTGTGTGTGTCCCAGTTCTGTTACTGTTTTTACCATATCCAACACCTAGCGCAGCACTTAGCTTGAGTAATCATTTGGTAAATATGTGCTGAACTGAACTAAATAGGAAGCATTTGAGAACTATTAGTAGTTCAGTAAGGCGAGTCACCCATGAACCAATATGCATTGTTAGTAAATAAGCCTGGCTCATAGCTTGATGTCTTTGTGAGTGACAAATATTATGACTGACATAAATAATACGTTGGTGTTTTCTCTTTCCTCCTCCCCGCAGAAGAGTCTTTGTTTACAGTTTCAGGAGTGAGGCTAAAGCCAGAGATGTGTGACCTTCTGACCTCCTACCAGAAGAGTCACCACCTAGCCCAGTTTGCCAAATGCTGGTGAAAAGAAGAGGTAAGGTCACCAAGCTCCTTCCAGATAAGTGGCCCCAAAATTGGGATTCTCTGTGGACAGGATGGAAAGGCCCTTGCTGTCAGGCAGGCAGAGCACCGTTTCCCAGGTCAGAGCACCTCTGTTCTAGGGCTAACTCTTCCTCTTCAGTTCTGGGCAGAAGGGGCCTAGCTCCTTAGCTCTCTGTTTCCTAGGTTGAGGAACTGGAAAATAATGTGCCTCTCTTGTCTCTGCTGCTCCTAGAGGAGTGGTGAGACTGTAAGGTCAGAACTTACAGATCACTGTGAGGCTGTCAGCCCACACAGGTGAAGCACAGCAGTACAACTGACACTGTCTGCCTTAACTAGATAATTCTCCCTCTTGACTGACAAGACAAAATCGGGGCTAAGGGTGAGCAGCAGTCCTAGCCTGCCCAAGTTGAGGGTGGCAGTGGGGGGTCCTAGAATATAAAGCCTTCATTGCTAAAATTGGCACAGTCTCCAATAAGTCAAGATAATTGGTTACCTTAGTGGTACTAATTACCTTCCAGGGTAATTTGGAGGAGGAGGACCTGCTGTAGAGGATTTTTCCCAAAGCCACTATACCCTAAAAGAAGAATTTGTGCCAGAAGGTATGAGAAACCAGGTGGAACAACCCCCAAAGCTACCATAGCACTGAGACACATGACACATAAACGTTTCCCACACAGGGCTTTCTGTAATTGTAAAAGGGAAATAGTGGAGGCAGATGAATCAAGGTGGAACCATGTGCAGGGCCAGCTTAGGTGACTCGGGCTGTATCCCAAACCACATTCATTCTGCTGTGATTTGGCCATTCAACTGACAACCACAGTGTGGCCTCACGGAACCTCTAGACCTTGGTGGTAGCCAACTTCCTGCCCGCACACCAGTATGCCTCACACAGCAGAAGCCAGCTCTGAGGGTTTCTCTTTCTCTTAGATCTTTATCTTTGTCACTATTTAAAGGCATATACACATCAAGGATGCCTGCTTTCTGCTCATCAGCAATGATGTAACTTCAAAGAACAGGGAAATATCCTATTACAGCTATGCCCCAGAATATTCCCCAGAATATTTTATGAAATATCTAAGTTTACATTTTGAAAATAACACAGTTGATACAACACAATAATGTTTTCGCTCAGCAAAACATTTTCTAAAGCAAAGTTTTTGCTGAGTAATTATTGTCACTTCAGTCCAACTACTTTTAAGGGAAAATTGAACTTTAGCTACAGTCTATAAATATAAAGGTTTTCCCATTCATGAAATTATCAAGGATCCTAACAAAAATGCTCTCAGAATAACGGTGATTCATAAGCATTATTTCTATCGGTGCTAGGGTTTGTTTTGTTTCGTTTGTCCTACTTAGCAGCTAGGAAGTTAGGAGAACCTCGCTTTTCTGGTCTATAGTGACCTCTCACGGAGAATTGTTACCTGTGGACATAGATAGGTCGTGAAAGAGCAATTAACTGGCTGTGCAGCAATTGAAGGAGGCGGGAGACAGCGGTCAGCCTCCATTGCTACTGACATCAGGAGATAAAACCAGTAAGAGGCAAACCAAAAGAAGGAAGTTGCTAGAGCAATCAAACTGTTTAGTCTACTTGAGATCAACAAAAAATCTGAGAGTGCTAGAGTTAAAGACACTGCAATTGTGCAGCTTGTTCATGGAATTGTACACACTGATAGAAAAAGTGACAAAGCATAAAAGAGGAAATATCTCACCCCTGGTAACAGGAACTGAGAAAGCTTTAAAAAAAAAGTCCAGGTTGGTAGTGTGACTCAGAGGTTGAGTGCAATTGTGCAGGCACTAGGGGCCTATAAATCTTTTCTTTTTTTCTTTTTTTTTTTAATATTTATTTATTTATTGTGTGTGTGTGTGTGTGTGTGTGTGTGTGTGGCCAGCTCAGCCCACCAGGGGGCGGGGCTGGCTGGCATGTGGTGCTGGGGGATCGAACCGTGGTCCCTGTGCTTTGCTTAGCTTAGCTTGTTCTAAGTAGGTGCTTTAGACCACTGAGCCATCTCATCAGCCCCTAAATCTTTTCTACTGAATTGCTAAGATATTCACTTATCAGGTGAGTAAAGGTGAAATTGGGGTATTTGGACTTAGTAACTGGTGGCAATTCCTCAAAATTAATAATCCTGATAGAACTTCAAAAGTCAGTTTCAAACCGGGCATGATAGTGCATGCCTGTATTTTCAGTACTTGGAAGGCTAAGGCAAGAGGATTGCTGTGTTTCAGTCCAAGCTGGGGTACCAAAGTGAGTTCAAGGCCAGCCTTCACAACATACTAAGACCCTGCCTCAAAAAAGTTAGTTTCGGGGCCGGGGAGACGGCTCAGTGGAGTAAGCACTTCTCTAGCAAGCGCAAGGGTCTGAGTTCAATCCCTGGTTCTGCAAAAACAAAAAAAAAAAAAGTTAGTTTCAAGCGTGATAAGCAGTGTATACTGGTGTCTACAACAGAAATAGAAAAGAACCAAAATCTGGCTGCAGAGCACATACCAGGCACCATCATAGACGCTTTTTACATATTATTTCAGAGCTTGGCGTGTTTTGAACAAGGAGTTCAGGTGAGTTACAGCTGTACTTTGTATGCTTGGAGATAGATTTTTGCTTACATATTTATTTATTATTTAATAAATGCTAGGTATTGAACATATGACCTCATGCATGCTGGGTAAACATTCAACCTCTGAGTTACACTACCAACCTAGACTTTTTATTTTTTATTTTTTTTTTTAATTTTTAATTTTTATTTTTATTTTTT